TGTCGGGCCTTCGTGGCTTAGTGGTATAGCGTCGCTCTCGTAATTTACGATATAAGCGAAGATCGCGCGTTCGATTCGCGTCGAGGGCATCATCTTTTGCCGTTCTGCGGGGTTGTGTCCCTGGTTGATGCCTTTTTTTACCCCTTGCTCATCCATTTCGATCGAAATGCATCTATTGTTCTATATACTACTAGCACACTTGAAAACCATCTCCCCGAGATACTACCAGTACATTTGTAAGCTACCAAGACCGGAGTAATCGCAGCATTCAAGGACAAGCCTCCGTAACGGCATCCATGGACCGAATAGCGCTCCCAATCGCGCGTATGGCTAAAAGTGTATCTTGGCAGGAGATGCACATGGCACCCTTGATGATGTGGTAAAGTATTCCGTCTCTCCGAACCACCCCACATACGACCGAGTCACCCAATCGGGACCATCAGTTGGACCAACTACACTAGCTCTTTTAGGACCCAAGCTCTACGCAGACCCCCTAAAAAGGCTAGCGTGCTAGAAATAAAAGAATCAGGTATGGAGGATCGATAAACCATCCGCATCTACAGCCCCCGGGTTCCGAGGGATAACGGCGAGTCAGTGTTGCAATGCATACAGGTTACTGACTCCTGGCAAGGGAACGGCGCGCTCGCGGCCAATTTCTTGGAACCCCTTGTTGCGATAAAGACAACCGGATCAGACAGGATACACGACAAGGCAAACGTGCTTGGAGTCGTTCTCTCACGAACGCTCAACGGGAGGAATAGGAGTGGATTGATAGGGAGCAAACTATTTGCGGCAACGGTTTACGTGGAAAAGCCTCGATCGCCGTAATCTCCGACAAGGATCCTGGCATTAATAGTCGTGTGACCACAAAGAAATAAGAGACGTCGGATGCCAGGTACCAAGAACCATAGAACTATGTAGATGAGCACGATAGAAGCAGATGCCTTCTAACCGCCTCGGCGATGGGGGAATATGAGAGTCTCTCATATTCATTGAGAGAACCCTTGCCCCGGACGTCTCCACCGTAAGAACCCCGGCGAGCAAACCACGCAAGGCACCCGGGCCATTGCAAGACGCCGCCAATAGCAAGTAACTTCTTTGAGGATGATGCAAGGGGCGTTTGCAGAAGCATCATCCCTAAATTTCCGAGTCTCCATGATGGTGTGAACAAATGAGGTTTCTGCAGATCATCTGCCACGATCACTGGCGGCGGCGGGACAAGAGTCGGGTGCCCACGTAGGGAGAGCAAAGGCGTAGAGGGAAAGGAGAGGTCTGTAGGCCACAAACAAGAGGGAGGTACCTATGCGAAACAGTATCACGCGCGGATGAGAACACAGGTGGCGGTCCAGTTCAGTCACACGACTAGGGGCACAGGCCTTTGTACGGCATTGAGGAAAACCAAAAAGTGAGAAGATCATGGCGATGCTAGAAGGAGTGGCGAAGAGAAGATAGAGAAAGATCTTCAGACTATGCAGATGGTAGAGGTCACAAGGGTGTGGCCGCCACGCTGTGCTCGCGCGCATCATAGCGGCCTAGCGAGTGTAAATCACAACTTCAACAGTAAATAGAATCCTGCACTTCACACAGCGATGTGATATTCTGCAAAGCCGACCGGAAGTCCGAAACCATGACATGATGGAGTTTGATATCAAAACAGCGCAGGCTTCGTTTACCTCACTGACAGAACAGCATTGATGCTGCGCATAGGGAGTCGGACTGATTAGCGATTTTATCAGTACTCCACTTCAGGCGACCGCCTATCAAGATTCTGCCAAGTTTGATATCATGGGGAATAGCATGATATGTCATGAGATCGAGAAATGTTCATGCCCATCTTGCGGATTGTTGCAAAACTTAAACACAGTGAATTCGACGAGCGAAGCGAACCACAGACTGGGAATACCCCAGATTATTGGATGGCGATGACTTGGGCACTAGAGTGACGGTCTTGGAATGAAGACTAGTCGACCAAACACGAAGTGTTTGGGTACAAACCACCAAGAGGCGGAGCCACCCGAAGACATTGACGTATAGACAAAGTCAAATGTAAGAAAAGCAAACCAGAAAAGAATTAGCTCAGAGGCCAAAAACCAAGCAAGGGAGTGGTCGCTTGGTTGACGCACGATGCAGTCATGAAGATGTCCTATAATAAAACGTCTATTCCAGGAATAGAAGCACGGGCGGTGGTTCCAAAGATACACGAGGAATAAATGAGCGTGGAGAGCACGGCGCGAAGCCCGTGGAGTGGGTAAAGACTCAGTTACGGGAGTATAGGCGGGGTGGCGAGTCGAAGCGAGTGACCGAGGACCGAAGACGAATAATTCTCGCCGTCGGGGAGGTTCCGGGAAGTGTTGGTCATAGTGTGTCACTTGTTAACGTATCTTCTTCCGTATCCTTGTTGGCCGACTTTTGGTGGTGGATGGGGATTTGTTGGGACACATACTGAGAGTTTGTGTGCAGATGGCTGCAAAGAGTGGTCTTGCATTCCCACATTGTCCAGATCAACTTCTCCGTTCGATGTCGTAGCTCAGGCCCCAAGTCCTTATCTTATCGCCATCATATCGTCACTTCTGCTGGGGTGCAAATAATAATTCGGGCTAGACGAGTCACCTGGCCAGTAGCTCAGCGGGTGCTCTGCTCGATGCTGATCTTTGTGGGGGAACGGCCTCGATGGAGCTGTCAGCCAAGCACGTTCGTCGCATTATTGGCAACAAGTTGTCAGTCAGCTGTCAAAGAGGGCAGAGGGAGAGTGAGGCACTTGAGAGCGGGTCCCGAATACCAGTTCCATATCAATTCAGCAGATCTTGCAAAAGCCAGATTCTGGGACGGACGATGACTGTGAGGCAGATCTTCAATACATTGGGGTCATGATCCACCGCAAAGCATCGTCGACTCGACCCGGAGCACCCTGATAAGCATGGAGGACGTCCTAGATAGCTGGAAACGGTAGTGTGGTGGTGATCACGAGGTTAGGGCATGATCGTCGAACGTGCGTGGGGTCGACTGATTGCAAGGGTGCGAAGCTGGGGCACAGCAGCTCCAAGAACAAGAAGGAAGACAGCGCCTGATCGTGCTCGATGAATCGGAACAGGTGGCTCAACATCGTAGGAGGATCGCGCGGGATATAGTGTGAGGGTTTGGTTTGGTAGTCATCGAGCTTAAACTAGTAGGACTCAACAAACTGTGCCAGGATCGAGAGAGGCTACATTGACAGTACTGGTACCGCGGGCCACTCTATATGAGCCCACAATCGCGAGGGACACCATGATAGCTCAAGCATGCAGAACTCGTGGCCTATTTTGGATCAGATTTGGAGTCTATCGACCAATTTTTTGGGGACGACATTACGGGTCCAGCATTTATGGAAGCATTGGGAGAGGTACGTAGTAGTGCCGCGCCAGGAAAGCTCCATGGAGAACAAGCCCCAACGAAAGGAGGCGAAAAAGAGAATTAGGAATTTATCGCAAGCTCCCCATGACGCCGTGTCGCGCCGGACGCCGGAGAAAGGGGGGGAGAGGGGAAGAGAAGAAGAGGGACAAGCAAGAGGGTGGTACGGCATTATGGCGGGCGAGTATAAATTTTTATCCTCGCGTGCCTGTACTAACTGCGTCTCGCGTGCATCAAGCGTTCGTGTGATTATCAGATGCTTGCGTATCTTGCTTTCAGAGAACATATAACGGGGGCTGCCGAGCCAAGCATAGAGCACGTTAATCGGAGCTGAGCTTTCCCTCCAGCTGACGATATGCTAGTGGGCAGGCCAACGAGCTTGGTACCCATCCATCATCGAAGGCGAGAACGCATGGACAGGCGGACGGATGATGTGATTAAGATCAGCAGGTATATAAGAAAGGGTACTTGGCGAGGGGGACCGAGTAGCGGGTGGATCGCTGAGTGTCAATGGGTGGAGGCTTGAGAGAGGGGAGCGAAATGCACAAACGTGCATCGCGTCCAAATGCCGAACGATGTTTGGGTCATATGTAGTGCGGCGACGATCATCAGGAAAAAGTGAACAGAGAAAAAAAAATCTTATTCAGTCGGCGATGGTTAGACTCGGTCGACAGGGGAACAAATACAGGATTGAGACCGAAACCGAGTGATTGAGGTGATGATAATAATAAGAATGATTCAACAACCATTGTCCCGCCCGTCGAGTATCGGCGCAGTAGCAGGATAGGCTATTCGGATCGTGCACACCCGGCGGTTGGTTCTAACGTTATCGGCTAGGACGCAGCACCCATTACCAGCACGACGGTTTTGCCCAAGAGTCGGGTATGACGCACGCACGTAAATGCGGTTTCGAACCCCGACGGGGTTGCGTGGTTTAGCGCGCTGGGGGGCGGGGTCTCAGGGGCCCGTCTTCGTGCTGCATGGGAGTCCAGGGAAAAGGTACCACGGAAGAGGCCGGTCGCGTGGAGAAACGTTAGTTCTGAAAATAGGAGGTTCTGTCTTGGCGCATGTCAGGAATATTTTTCTTCTTCTTCTTCAACCGCTTTGGAACGTGTGCTAGGGCAAGACATGAAACACGGAGGCGACGCTACGGCGAGAAAGTGCGCAATCTGATTCCGAGCGACGGTCATCAGCAAGTGTCTCAGAGTCTCAAGGTGAGTGGGCCACCGGTCCGGTCAGCAGTGGAGACTAATCAACCTCAATACTACTGCGCGCGGTGATTTGCACATTACTGAGGCCGGAACAAGAGATATATGAGGACAACGTGGAACGAAAATGAGCGCCATCAGGAGAGAAGAAAAAAAAAGGCGAAATAGTAAAACATCTAGAGCGTATATGCAGACACGTTTGTTCATATAAATAAGCTTGGCAGTGGCGCGGACCGCCGGTATGGCGGGCAGTCGCTAGAACGCCTCGCGTGTCGATTACTATAAGAAAAAGAAAAAACAAAGGAAAAAGTCGGGCACGGCATTGAGAGGCCCGGCGATGGTGGATGAGAGGGAACGAATCGAGAGCTGGACTCATGCGGGGTAGAGATAGGAACTAGCTTCGAAAATTATATTGAAGATCCTTGGGAAGGGAAAGGCGATGATGCCAGTCGATCGACGGGTAAGAATACGGAAGTCTGGCGATGCGCTGATGC